ACCACCAGCCGACCAATGCCTAGCCAGTCCCTGAGCAGCGATTGCTGCCCCCCCCGGCCAATTCCCCCCAGTTTCTATACTGAGCATGACGCCACATGGTATGGAATAGCCCTTTGGTCAGTTTGGATCAAATGTTCTGGCTGTGCCCCCTCCCAGTTTCTTGTGCACCTGGCAGAGCACGGGAAGCTGAAAAAGTCCTTGACTAGCATAAGCCCTACCGAGCAACAACTAAAACATTGGCGTTATCAGCATTATTCTCATCCTAAATCCAAACCACAGCACTATGCCTGCTACTAGGAAGAAAATTAACTCTATCCCAGCCGAAACCAGAACCTCAGGGTAGAAGCATCTCCTAGGGTAAGGAAGGGCTGGCCCCCACTTCTAGCTTTCTTCACAATACTTCTTAACAGCACAGGAGCTGACCTTGTATCTAGCCAGCTAAACTCTTCAACTGAGCCAGCTAAACTCCTAGGAGGGTGGAATACACTCAAGGCCCTGACAGTACCCTCTTGTTCCAGTGGCTGAGTCAGGAACATTTGCCTTCATAGAGAGCAGGTTTTCGTCCTGTCTGTGGCAAGGAAAGATGCTGGGAGCAGGATTTCCATTAATGTGCTGGATAGCATTTGCTCTGTTTGGCAGTTTTTGCCCTTGGAGTGAACTGTCATATGCAATGATCGTACAACTTTATAAAGGTAGTTGATTGGACCACTTCCTCTCTTTACAGATTACATGCCACTGCCCTTACAGACTTCTGATTTGCATAGATTCTGAAATATAAATAATATTCCTAAGCACCCTGAGAGGCCTTTCGAAAAGGCTCCTGCTTCTTGTTCTAACGGATAATTAAACTCAGTAGGAGCCAGCACTTCTTGCTTTACGCAGACACGAGATACTAGTGAGAAGCTGGTTGGTGACGTCTTTCCAGCAAAGCTTCTACTAGCGTGCATCATCTTTGGTGCAGAAAATAAAAACACAGTCTAGCAGAGTCGTGTTATTGAGTCTAACTTTGGGGGGCCTTTGTTTCATTTCAGCTTGTCTCAGGAACAGCTTATATCAACTGGTGGCGTGTGGGAGGCATGTGAGCAAGTGTCCAACCTGCCACGAGGTGAGTATTGTATATGCAGAACAACAGAACTAGGACGTGTTGTCTTGGAATATCGATAACCCTTGCAAGGGGCATTCTAGCTAGTACAATGAAGGCTCGCTCATTCTGCAAAACCCATCTGGTTTTGAAATGTGTAAGCTTGGAAGCCAGGACAGATTCTTTGCGTGGCAACAATGCAGCTCTGAGCTCTGCAGAAAGGTTAATCCTATAATCTCAAGATCGAATGATCGCAAACCTGGATGAACATTGTTGCAAGCTGACTTGAATCAGTGCAGTGCCATGGTTTTCATCCTTTTGCTTTTGCAGATAACCAGGCAGCAGTTGTGTCAGCTCTGGCTGCATGTCTAAGTGTGGTCAAGGATGCTCTGGAGGAGATGGAACGTGTAAGGAAGCCCTTAAGCCTTTGAGGAACCTGCAGTGATGGATTTCAGGGATGGAACACAGGGATTGGTTTATATACAGGCTTTGATTTAAATTTGTTCTGATATGAGCTAAATTATTATATTATGCCTGGATCCTAATGAGTTTTTAAACTCAAGCCTGGTTTACTTTATATAAGTTTTCTGTAAAGCCATGTCCTGAATTGTGGGGTTGGGGGGTGGGGCAATTTAGGTTAATGTAAGAATGGTGTTATTTGCCAGGTTCTTGCTGTTTGCTCTGTTGAATTGGAGTGGGGGATTAGTTTTTCTTAATCCAGTCCTGCTAGGATTAACAGAATCTAGCAACGGAGATGCTGGTTGGAAAGAGATTCCTCCGTAAATTATGTGTATGATTTCTAGATTATGTTTTCTCTTTCCTCCTGGGTGTTGCTGGAATTGATGTTAGACTCTGGGTTTTCAGTGCATCTGTATTCTCAGGCTCTGGTGGAAGGCCAAGACCCTTACAGTGACATCATGGAAGATGAAGAGCTGGGCTTTCGCGGCAACAGAGATACGTATTGGTCAGAAGCTGACCGGAAGCTGCTTAGCTCCTGCATGGGATTAATGAAGGCTTCTAAAGCTTGCCTGAAGAAGGTCTTGGGTGTAGTGAAGGCTTATGGCAAAGCTGATTCTCCAGAGCAGATCGCTCAGCTGGATGATCTTGCAGACATTGCTAATGAGATCAGTCCAAGGTAAGCAGGTCTCTCCCCATGCTGCTTTTTGCTCCAGAGCAGTCCCTGTCTTTCTTGAGGTCTAGAGAATGGACTAGGAAAACCTTTATGATATTGAAGCTGTGAGCAGGTGGTGAAAGCAGGTGTGGTGGGAAGACTGTTATGGCATAGGCTGTTGAGAGTTGTGCAAGTTAGGAGAGGAACATATGTTGCAGCTTGGGGTGGAGCTGTGGCTGTGTCTCACTCTAAGGTGAGAGTGGCACACAGATGTCTGAGAAGGCAATGAGAAGCATCCCGTGGGTAGGACTGATGTCTCCTTGTCATGCACTGCCGTTCCTGACTTGCATTCAGGGTGGGTGTTGGCTTTGACCAGGATCCATGAGTTGTGCTATCAGGACCTTTCTTCCATTGCTCCCCTCTCTTCTATTGTAGTGTTGATGAGCTGGCACTGAGCATGTATCCACCTATGAACCAGCTGGCTGTGCGACTCAATGTAAGTATCTGCAGCCTGCATGCGGGTCTACTCACTTGGCTGTAGAGAAGGGGAAGAAATCGAATTGGGGGGATTATGTGACTGTCAGGGAGAGGTGGGTGTTAGTGACTGTCTCAGTAACAAGTTCTTAGGAATGAAGAGTCCCCTTTGGTTTGTGAACACTTGGCTTCCTTCAGGTAGAAATGCATTCCTCATCTTTACTTCTTTGGGGAAGAGCATGGGCGCTTGAGCTTTGGCTCTGAAGTGTAATCCATAGAGACGTCCAATGACAGTACCTCAGGAAAGTGAGGTATAAGGCTGCTGATGTACTGCATGTCTACCTTCTTCCTTGGGTAATGTGGACTTGCTCAAATAAAGTTATCTAAATTAAAAATACGAATTAAAAATTCTCACACCGAGTATGGTTAAGCACTGAAACAAGCTGCTCAGAGAAGCAGTGGAATCTCCATCTTTGGCAATACTCAAAACTTGACTGGGCAAGGCTCTGAGCAACCTGTGTGAACTTTGAGGTGGACCTTGCTTTGAGCAGGAAGTTGTACCAGATGACTTCCAGAGGTCCCTTGCATCATAAATTAAGTACGTATCTTCTCATATCTGAAACTTTTTATTCTTAGTTCTGGTTTCGTGCCTTTGGCCAGTGGCTTGGTTTTTGGGGGGTGAAAAAGAAAGTATTGCTTAATATCAAATTGCATTACAGTCAGTGACTTGTAACTTCATGCCTTAATATCATTTACCAATTTCTAATAGGCTTATCTTTTTTAAAGAGAAAAGCATTTTAACATATGCTTTAAAAAACAGCCTGTCTTTATTTTCACCTGTCCCGGCCAGCAATAGGTTGGGAGACAGTCCCGGCATGGCAGTGATAGATAGCTTCCTTCTGCATCAGGATCTGTGGCAGTTTTACTCATTCATGGCTGTGTTGGGCATTTCTACACCCCGCTTTCTTTTCCAGTACTGCTGAGCCCCTTTTTTCCCATGTTTGGCTCGCTTTATTTCCCTTTTGTTTTTTCTAGGCTGCTAAGTTGGCCTCGGTGTTAAAGAAAGTCTTAGAGATTGCAAAGTGAGTATGAGTTACAGTTTTAGAAGTGTGTGTTCCCTGCTATGAAGGTTGATATCTTTCTGCCTCCTGTCAAAGATGACTCATTTCTAGACAGTAAATGCTGGCATTTTGAAATAATTATGTTATCCGGTCACAAAGGGATGGGAGTAAGAAAAGGACGGTAGGGATGAAAGTGGATCCCACTGAAGACACACATATGTGGTAAGATTTGGGGCTAGAGACATGGATGTGGGTTCTTCCTTGCTCAAAGCACTCTGGAGCTATAGCAGTCCTGTTTTAATGCTGTGGTAATTCAGCACTTCACAGTACCCATGTGTTGTCTGGGGGCATAGGTATAAGACACCCAGGAGGCTTTCCTAATTAATTTCCTCCACTTTTGCAGGACAAGCCATGTATGTCCACCATCAGAGGAAGGCTGGGTGCAGTTTCTAACTGGTGCCGTAGATCACAACATGAATAAAATCAAGAACTTCACACAGGGTCAACTTTAGCTCTTCCATGTCTACATGTGTTGCTGCCACTGGCTCTGGCATATGCTTTTCCAGTGAATTTTGCTGTTCTCCAGCTACTGGGAGAATGATGAGAACAATGTTTTTAGGAGAGAACTTTATTGCCATTTGGTAAAACTTTGCCAGGAAATTGCTCTTTGCCATTGCAGAAAGTGTCATTTTGCTTCGATTCCTGGGATGGTGCAGGGCTGCATTTTAATGCTGTGAATGTGCCCCATTCTTCGGACATTGCTACTACTACGGGGTTCAGAGAACAATAAAATATTGCTAGATTTGCATGAGTGGCTTTATCTGTTTGCAGGTGGCAGAGGATATATACAGAAGGAAAGGGTCTTGCTTCTTTTACAAGCAGCTCGATGAACCATTAAAAAATACGCAGCACTGCTGCTATTTCCTGTCTAACCTTAGAGACAAGTGAACTGTCTTCCTCTTTTCTATTTCCTCAGAAAGCAGTGGAAAAAATATTATTTACTACTTTACCAACATCAAGGATCTGTAGGGGGATAATAGTATATCTAGAGAAATGCTACATGTATCATCACTTTAAAGTTCTAGGATATCTTTTTTTGCCACGGGTAGGGAAAAATGACTAAGCAGTGGTGGGTTCAGCACATATGCATGGTGAGAAATCAGCATCTGACTGAGCATTTAGCCCATCTTTGTCAGAGTAGGGTTCAACTTACAAAACTGGAGAGTGGGCATAGTGGCAGAGGGAGAGACTTGAGTTTGTACAAGTAATCAAAGTCAGACATGGTTTTAAATATAGCTTTAATTAAACTGTTAACATCTCTGCTTGCCTAAGATCAGGGCACAGATCATGACCGCTCTTCTGTAAGCAGGACAGTAGGACCTGTTTACAGAAGCTGGGCATCAGGCAGCTGCAATGTTGATAGTTTTGTAGCTCTTCAGGTTCTGGAGTTGAAGGCAGGTGAGATGTGCAGTGAGTCTTCTGGGTCCTGCTTGGGTGGGGGTGAATGAGATTGGCAGCTCTTGAGTGCTTTTAGGTTGCACAGAGCCCAACCTGAAAGGCGAGAAGGGATTATACAGGAAGTGCACCTCTTTGTATTTCTAGTTCCCAGGGCCCAGGAGATGCATTTGCTAGACAGGAGTGTGGTGCCAAAGAAAGGAAAGAAAAAAAAAAAAAAATGGAAATAGGAGGCGGCTAGCAGTTATCTAAACTACCACAATGGAATTGTGATCTGGCAGTAGTTTGGGAGGGAGATAGACAGGAGGGTTGAACTCCCCATGGAGGCATCTAAGGTTACTTTGTCCTAATGCAGCTTCTTGAGAGAAATGTGGGGTTTTTTTTTCATGTGAAGGAGAGCATGCCTTTTTAGATGACACTTGGCTAAGTCAGGTTTGCCTGGTTCTTCAGCAGGGAAGGGGAAGACACTGTTAAAACTGTACCCAGGGACTGTGTTTATTGCTCACAGTGGGGTAATGGGTGGAAAGAGATGTCACAAACAGTATAGTTTTACCCCACTTACGGATGTTCAGGTGGCTAGCTAAAAAGCAGTTGGTTTCTCAACAGCAAATAATTTCTAAATTTCTAGCTCATTTCAGTGACCTATAACTGTTGTCTTACTTAATGTGTATTTCTGCCTAAGTTTTGTGGTACTTCTCTTGTTACCCTTTTTGTTGGCAGGGGGCTTTTCTTCTGCTGTCTAGGCCTTTGGGGTTGAAGCTTTCACAAATGTCATACTGGCTTTAACTTACGTATTACACATCTGTTGAAAGTTCTGTTATCTGGCTTTTCTCCTTTTCAGTGTGAAAATGTTCTGTATTATCTGTAAATAAAGGATGGGATGCCTGGGGCTTTCATGCTGTAGCAGTCTCTTCCTGCCACGTTGTTGTCCACTTATTTTTGGGGACAGCCTTTCCTATGCAAGGGTTTCTCTAGCTTGTATTGTGTCTCTTCTTCCATATACCGTTCTTAGATCAATCAGTTTGCACTTACCTGTACTTCCTTTGTCTGTAAATGAGCCCTCTCCCTGCAACCACTATCACACACTTCTCCAAGGGTTCGGTGAGAGGGTTCCGGAGGCTGATCTTTGCTGTGCTTGGCTGATACTGTACCATATTTTCTGGAAACTGTTGAAAGAAGGAAATGAGCTGAAACTGAAAGAAGGAAAGAGATTCTTCTACGATTAAAGGGCGATAAATGATTTCTTTGGTGCCAGAGGTCTCGGCCTGAGCTGCCGGTTGCCAGAAGAGGCAAAGTCCAGCTTACTCTCTTCTCAACTACAGTATTCTGCTGTAGTTTCCTTCTGCAGCCTCTGATTTCCAGACTGGTGAGTGAGTTAGGAGTCAATGGGATTTCCTTATGCTCACACATAGACAAGGTAGAAGTGGGAGTACTGTATACAACAGTGCGGCACAGCTCACCTTTCCAAACTGATGTCTCAGTGCCTTGAAAGAAGACAGCATAAGGAGAGCCACTCAACCCAGCAGATTTTTTTTGCTGCTTATGACTATGAAAGCTGTTTTCTCACTACTGCAGTAACAGAATAATAGACTGATCTAACCTCAATAGTGAGAGGGGAATCACAAATGCTGATCTCTTCCTGTGCAAAGTATATGTAGCAGGAGTCCTCATCTCTCAGCATGGCAGTCAGCCTAAGCAGATGGTTCTCTCCCAACTCTCTTCCGTACTGCGAGTAAGGCACGAAGACCTGCAGATTTTTAGCTGGAATAGAGAGTGGTGAAATACAGATGACAATGCAGACGATAAGTACAGTCTGGTCTTAGCCTGCATGGCACCTAGGAGTGTTTAGTGCCCAACATTGCACTAAAAGCTGCAGCATTTAAAAGCTTAAGTGATCCCAACTGGATTTGCAGGTTCAAAACCTCTGAGGTGATGTTGCCAAAGTGTTTTATTTCAATCGCCTACAATCAACTATTCAGCCAACCTTTTGTAGACTTATGGCTAAGTGCATTTTTCCTGAAGTGAGAGGACTAGACATACTTTTCTAGCCATGCACCCAGTAGAGTCCTTACCTTCATTGCTTTTGAGGATAAAATGAAACTCCTCCTTCCAAAGCTGGGTAATGGGCACACCATTATAATGTAGAGACTGGGCCCCAACTACCAGGTGAGTAGCCTTTTCTCCACCACTGTGGTTAAACACTTCAATGGAAAGCTGAATATCTTGTCCCAGTAGCAGAGGACTCTGCAACTGGGGGTGGATGAAAAGGTTAAGGGGCTCTTCAAGGGCAGTAGGAATGGATCTAAACTGTGTTTCGCTGCTGCTGCTGGTTGTCTCAAGTTTCTTTATCTTCCTGTAGGCTTTGTCAAGTACTTCTTTTTCCTGAAGAGAACCTGTTACAAGAAAGGGAGCACATATTTTAGTATTCTTTCCTGTTCATTTGTGTGAAGCAGTAAATGCAGAAGGATGGCGTTGAATTATCCTGGCAGTCCTGTAGATAACTGTTTCTAAGAGCACAGAGATCCAGTTGTGCTTCTGGTTGGAGCAATTCAGGAATTTCAGCTGACAGGACATTCATTGGATGTACCTGAAAGATGCTACTTGGAAAGATTTGTCATAGTTGTTAAAGCACCTTGGTGCTAACATCTGTCAGAGGCAGTTGCCTCTAACTATAGCTGTAGTTAGGGCACAGTACTGTGTTCTCTTGTGAGGGACTGCAGCCAAGGAGACAACATGCCATAGGCTAAGATGAGATGATAGGGTTGGGTCAGGGAAACAGCACTCAGTAATAGATTCTGAGGGGGGAGCTACTTTTTGAGGGAGGGATTTAGACAATATCTGGGAGCACAACAGTCCTTTTCAGAAAGCTGGAGTCTGAAATATATTAGAGGGGTAATGGGAGGTGAATGTACAGAGCGTACCGGTAACAGAAATCAGGAAAGAAGGTTTTCCAGCCAGACAGGAAAGTGCCTGGTGAAGAAAGGCCTGGCCTTCTAGAGAGCTGGTTAATGTGATTAAGCAGGATGAAATTTGGGGTATGACGTGTGCTTTGAATCCGTAGACAGCAAGAGTAAGATGTTCTTGTGCCATTCAGGAAGGGGAAGTAGTGAGAAGTAGTGGATGACTCTAATGCTCCAGTATGGCTCTGCTCTCTCGTCCTTTACTCTTGACTTGTAACACTGGCAGGGAATGTGCTCAGGCACTTGCCTACCCCGTACCTTCAGGATACTTGTAGTTGTGTGTGATATCCTCACAGCGTTCACTGCTCACACTCTTGGTGCTGATGTTGTTGCCAGTGTACTTTGTGCCACCGAGAGCTGGCTTGAGGGTGCCATCTGCTTTTTGTATCCAGACCTGGCACTTGGCATTGATGGCAGCAAAGAAGTAGCAGACATCATAATCAACTTCTGTGTCCCCTTCCTTGATGGCTTGAACAGGGGCTGGCCCACAGAAGGATGGACCTGAAGAGAAAATATGGCCCAGTTAAGATTCAGATGCTTTACCAACTAGAACCATGCCGAGTTTAGACCTATGCTGGAAGTGATGAAGTATCTAGTTTAGGAGGACATTAAGGAGCAGTGCTGTGATAGAGCTCTTGGAGCTACACAGGTTGCACAAACCAAACGGATGAATGATGATTTAGTGGTTAAAGTCAACAGGGTGAGTCCCTGTCCTTTTGCATCCTTCCATTGGAAGCTGGGGAAGGAAGGAATATTGAACTACTTTATTTGCTCCCCACTCCGCTCCCCCACCTCACCCTGCCAAGCCCATCTTTGATATCTCTTGCCTTTGCTTTTTTCCTGGCAGGTGGCATCCAGTGCCTGCCACCCGCTGTACTCTGGGAGCAAGTCCGCTCGAGCCATCCAGCATTCGTTCCAAACGTGGAAGGTCCTGCAAGAGATGACATCACGTGCTTCTACCAAGGGACTGAGCCCTGAGGTACAGTAAAGTTTTAGCCAAACCACAGCCAATTAATGCTCCTTTGAAAGAGCTCCATGCATGTCAAGGAGAGCATAGACCATGGCTTTTGACACTAGTGGAGTTTCACCAGCTGGACTGGGCTATCGTTCTTCCTTTGTGGGCCCTAGTAATAGGCCACTCTTCAGTTTGGATTGCAGCGATTTCTCAAGAACAGGTCATGTAGACAGGATCTCAGCTGAGCTGTCTCCTATCCACCTCCTTGCACCCGTTTACCTCTATTCCTAGATCCAGGTATTGTCTCAAATTCTTGCTTGGGTCCTGCCATGTTTTCTTACCAGACACGGGCACTCTTGTCTTGTGTAAGCAGTGTCCCGTCTTCATCGTAATACTCATCCACACTCAGGCTGCTGTTAGTGTTGTGAGCCCACGTAA